TTTTTTTTTTTTCGTAACTACAATCCAATTCTTCGCTTGCACGATGCGAGAAAACCTGTTCAACCGGTACTACAATAGACGAGTACAAATACCGCGTGACATTTGTACTCGTCTATGGCGTTATTTGTACTCGTCTAGGTGTAGTTGGATAATAATCTGGAGTATGATATGGATCCAAATATGTAACCACTGCATCAATTATTCCGGAAAACAAAACTCGAAAACCTTTTTGGGGTTTCCCAAGTAACGGTCCAATGCTGTTAGCATTATCACATGAGCGATTTCGTCAGCACCAGCCTCTTAGGAAGCAGCTACATCACTTGAGAAGTCTAGCCGCTTCCTGTGTGCTTTACAACAGAACAGAGCACAGTCGAGGCTTCTCTATTTGTGAAGTAAAGCGTACCTGAATCTCCAGGGGCATCCTGCTGGAGGTTCGTCCTGGTATTTACACTGGCAATCACATATATCTTCGTCGAAAAGTTCATTTTCAGAGCAATCTTGTGCTTTCTTTACACATGCACACTCACAACTGGTATGATTAAGAACCGTCAGAACTTTTCGGGTTCGAGATTGTAAATCAATTACTACACCAGTTACATTGTTCCAGGCTGTGGCGGAGCAGTGGTACGTATCAGGTGAGTTGGTAGAGCAACCGCCACTACATCGGTAAACATTCACGAAGAAGGGATAGTATTGATAGCGAGGGGCATCTATAGGAATCACCTCTTTCCTTGCTGCGCATGGGATTGGTTGTGTAAAGAATCCTGAAAAATACCAAACGATACCACCTTCAGTTAACTCAGAAGCCGTAGGGCGAGTTGAATTTGTAATCCTTGAACATTGTTTCCATTACTTAGGAGTGTTTATGTTTTAAGTTTAGATAAGCCAAAGAGCATGGGTGACAGCCGCCTCTGATTCTACCCGACAACAGCACCAAGGATTAATAATAATAATAATAAGAAGAATAATAATAATAATAAAAGATTTATACCGCGCCAGTATCCTACTGTTCAAAGGCGCCTACAAAAAACTTTAACATTAACACTTAAGACAGCTAATATTAATTATAAAAGGCTTTTCTAAAAAGAAAAGTTTTTAATCTACTTTTAAAAACAGACACAGACTGAGCATTTCTAATTTCACTTGGCAAAGCATTCCATAATGATGGTGCTGCTACAGAGATTCAAGTTGGTGTTTTTGCAGTAGGCAAAATTTAAACTGAGTTTTGGCAAAATCTAGTGATAGCTACCGCCGAAAAAATATGTGTAGATGTAGATGTAACCGAACTATGACAACTATCTCTGTGACAACCTCGTGATTCCCAATACACAACGTGCAGAATTATGTTAGGCTTATGACCGTGACGCCCTCGTGTGATATTTTCGATTTTGTGTACAAATTGAAAACCTAATACTAAATACGAAAGATACTGGCTAATCAATTAATTCAAGAGAAATTCCATTTCTAAAGTGGAAGTCTGACAAGAACACAGCTAATTTAAATAAACTTGCTAATTTAAATAAACTGGCTCGCAGATTTTAGCTATTAATCAATATTCAGTATATATAGAATTACTCCTGAACTGATTTGCCACCAGTTAGACAGCGACAACCCGTTTGTGGTTTTTGTTTGGTTTTTTTTTTTTTAGAGTTATTCAACCGCGATCTCCACATGATTAAAAACGTGGGGGACTATGTCGACCTGCAGTATCCCGTATGTTGACAACAAATTATTGATTGTGTGTATGACAAGAGGCTAACCAAGTTTTACAGCAGAAGTCTCTCCAGTGATTAAAATCAACCTTGTTTCAGGCAAACAACTAACTATTTACGACACCATCGATAATAAATGCTACTTTAGCAAGTGCGACTGTTCCTAACTACCCGCAAAAGCAATTACATAGATAAAGTCAGCGATAAATAAAGAATGGCGAAATTTCAACGACATCAACAAAAGACAATAAAATAATCCCTTCTAATCAAATAAGAATAAGCGGTGCTTTAGTTACGGCGAAGCTTTCGATTTGATAGTGGCTACGGCTTTACCTTCGACAAAACAACCAGTTGCAAGGATTGACAAGAATCCTACGAACACGCTAGGATTAGTCATCGATTGCCAACACTTCTTTAGTTATCCTTATAAATCTTCTGCAACTAGAACAGTTATAGCCGAAGGAAGCAAACAGTTATGCAAGCAGATGCACTCTATTTAGAAGACTCGACTGTAGCATTCAGTTTGCACATGTTTTCCATATTAAATTCAGTTTGATAGCAAAATCGTCATCAACAGAGACCTCCCAGTATCTGCAGCGGTTCGCGGTTTATTTTAATTCCATCTATTTAGGTCGCACTTAAGATTCTCGGACGTGACTTGTATTGTATTACGATAGTTGAATATTAATGAACGCAAAGAATAATAACCCAGGTAAACAATAAGTAATTGATTGGGAACCATTCCTCAGTGATTGAGAATAAATCAGTTTTCGTCTCAATTATGTAGCAGAGAATTCGGGAAAAAAAAGTGTGTGATTATCATAGGAGGGAATGAAACCTTTAGGCAAAAGAAGGAATTTATTATTGACTGACGGTTGACGTCACGAACGAGTTTCCGCTTACGTAAATCACTTCTTTTCCTTGTCATGTTCAGAGCTGCACACTTTGCCCCAAGATGTTAGCTGCTCTGTAAGATTCAAGTAGGGGACAGTAAGCTTTGTGTTTTTTTATATGATGTGATAGTTACGAATGGGCCCAAAGAAAGTTGTTATCGAAATTTTAATTCATGAATCCACTCATCGGTCATCTAGGTTCATTATAGGGTGGAAGATGATCGGATGCTGTATGTCAAAAACCGGTGCATGAGGTATTCGTGAGATCTCACTGAATGCTGGGTTGGTACTGAGTACTAAACGTCTTTGGGTACGAAAAGAACGAATAGATACCGAAAATCCAACCTGGATATCGATTACAATTTTACAAACGAAATAAAACTAACGCCATAAAAGAAGAAAAAATTCCTCCATTTGGAAAAAGAACATTACTTAGAAGAAAACGGAGTAAGGTACCAATGCGTTACGCGTTAGGTATCCGCACAGAACGTCCTAAAAAAAAAAAAAGACAAACACAATAATAAAAAAAATTGAACCTTATCGTGGGCTCCTGAGGATGTGTTGACCACGATCATGTTACAAAGAGGTTTCAGCACGGCTGTCTCAGCAGAAAAAGGATTCACGCGCGAGTCATTTATGAAATCCACGTGGAGGAGCGTTGCTGATCATGTGTAACGATAAGAAGTGACATCTGATGAAACAGGTTGACCAAAATCGTCATTTCCGAAAGGAAAAGGTTTTAAGAGTCCTTGACCCTTAAGATACGCTAAGATGATGCAAAATGGAATCTTGATCCTTGTTAAACTCTCACTGGAAGTCTTCTTCACCCCTTTCAGCTATTATAGGAATTGAACTCTTAAACATACATCTTTCTTTGTTTCCTAGAAGTCTGCTCTACTGCAGCTGAAGGGGAACAAGGAAACTGAAATAAAGAAAGGAAGTGAAAACTAAGGGCAGCTAAATTAATCCAATTTAGGTCGCTGCCTTACTCAGCTACTTGTCGTGAAAACCTTTCCTCGCCTGGAGTAATTTCCTACCCCACAGACAAATACTATTTCTGTAGATTTAAAAAGGGATCTGGGTACCAGGACAAACTGACTGATTCATTGACAGAAGGTAGGTACTTACGAATCAATCCGGTTGAAAATCAGGATGCTGTGATTCCATTACTCCATGGCTCCATTATTCCACTGATCATTCCATATTTCCGACAGTGTCTGCATATTGATCGCTCCTGCGATCATTTCTTTGTCTGTGAGATATTCGAGCTTTGATCTTCTTCCTGCAATCGCACGAAGTTGTCACCCAAGAACTCGTATAATGGCAGAAGTCTGTTTAAAGTGGTTCCACACATTTATTTTCCTCTTCCAAGCTATTTTGACAATAGCCGATACAACTACAGACATCATGACTTGTCTGGTTTATAGAGAAAACGAACATCGCAATTGGTTTGCAGTGAGTCTCGGCGTCACGCTCGTTACACTTACGGTGCTGTGTATTTGGTCGATGATTGCGAGCACCAGCCGCACATGGACAGAAGACGAAGCTGATGACGAAACTGGTAACCCTGATGTAGTATTCCGTTCAACTACAGTTAATGTTGCTCTAGCTTGTCTGTGCGTTGCGCCTCCATTGCATAGCATCGAGTTGTTTATCTTCTGCGCTTGTCGCTTCAAAGAGCTTTGGAACTCACCCGATGGTCTGCGGATTGAAAAGGATCGTCTTTACTATCTTTACATTCACACGCTGAACTTGAAAATGGTGGAGGGGCTTTTGGAATGCGCCCCGCAACTGATGATACAAGTCTATGTTATGTTAGTGCTAGGAACAAAAGCTGAACAGATTCAGATTATTTCCGCCCCAATTTCTTTTCTGGCTCTAGTTTGGATGGCTACTTCGATGGAGGTTCTCCGAGAATTTGAAAAATACAACTTGACGTTTCTTCACAATGTTATCATTTTCCTCGGTAACGCCGGAATGATTGCTGCTCGCACGCTAGCGATTGTCTTTTTTACTCGAAGATTCCCCGCATGGTGGTTACCTGTTGTATTTGGAGTTCATTATCTCGTAATGGTGGTCGCTGGATTCTTGCTGTGGCGATCAAACCGGAAACAAGATATGTTTGTATTTGTTTTCGCCTATTGCCCATTTTATCTTTTCGTTTACAGCTCGTACTATTTAAAAAAGCTGCGAGGTACTGCGCCATTTGGTCCTAAACTTCAAATGGTATCAACAGTTTTCTGGCATGTTCTTTTCACAGCTGAAAACATTGGCATGATTAGTATGTCTTTCTTCTTGCGAAATGAAAATTCGTGGATAATTACATCCGCTTTCGCCGCTGTGCTCATCGGTAATATTGGAGGGATTCTTGTTAAGTGGCTCTCTTGGTGCTGTTGCTCTTCCGGGCAATCACAGAGCGATGAATCTATCCGTCGACCTACGACAATCGTTTTAAGACCGAATTACTAACGCTGTTGAGCAAATACGAGAAGAGAAAAAAAGCATTCTAACAACAACTGAAAGGCGTCAGACGCCATTTTATGGTCATTTGCGGTGTTGGAAATTATCAGAATGAGTTGTTTCAAAACTTTCCTGAATTAAACTCCATTGTATATTTTTTAGCGCTTGAATTTTTTCATGTCATTCAAATTTTTAACGTTTTATACTCGAATATCTACTACCAACAACCCGTTATTTCGTGACTGCGTGTGCTTTATTTTGAACAGATCAACAATGAAACCTTTCATCGAAGAAAAGGGTGAGTCTGGGAACTAGATTGAACGCCTTTTAAAAAGACTGTGATCATGTGGATATACTGATATCAGATATTTGAACTGCAGATTAATAAATGAAGATGAGAGTGACCATCTAAGTTATAAACAATTCCTAAGTGGTACTAGCACTACTTAGCACGGGTTTATTACGAACCAACCAAATGACCAGCTCCAAGTGTCCTCTGCCCCTCCCACTCAGTCAAGTAGCATATAATACTGTCATTCTATTTTGACAACAACTGGAACCGAGTCACACATTTTGTCAAAAAAAAGTAAAGTGCATATGCTTCGAGAATCACTCAGCTTTGCGATTTTTTTCGCTTTTATCCAAATTTTTTTCAAAAATATGATGAAAAGGATAATCTCCAGCTCTATTGAATACGAGATCTTTGTACACTGAAGCGAGTGATTTGCACAGATACCAAAAAGGTGCACCTTTTCGTGGCCCAGTGTCGTTTTGAAATATTGAAACAGAAAAAAAAATTAAAAATAAAATAAGAATGCAGTTCCCCTGTACCTCTACATGTACTCTCCGGATTACATGTCTCAATATCAGTTTTCAAAGATCACAATTTACTATGAGCTCCACCCCTTAATGCCAAGCATTTTGCCTTTTTGCCGCTTCCAACCTCGTTGGCTATTTTCCAACTAATATCCAACGCGCACTCACGGAGTATTTGTCAGATGTTTGAGGGAAATTAAGAAGCCTCGTGTGCATTTTAGCGTTTAAACAGTGCACGAAAACATCAGCTGTTACGATTATTAAATGTTCGGTGGTGAGAAGACTTCCCCAAAAATTGGACGAGCACTTTAAAAAGACGAACTCTCTATTATTGAAATTGGAAACTAAAAATACGACTGAAAATGAAAAGAGCTGCTACGAAAGCAAAAGCGGTGCTACAATGAGTCGCAGGTGCAATCAAACTGTAAATCACTAATCTTTCCATAAGCTAATGAAAAGAATCAAACAAGAATGATTATTATATTATGCCTGTCTACTGCTGTAGAGCTGCGAGTATTGTAAAATGCCGAGGGGTTAATTGTAAAATGCCGAGGGGTTAATGAACAGTTCTTGTCGATGTCAAAATTGTGACAAAAGGAGGACTTGGATAAGATGTTTTTCAACGATGGCCAGTGTCGGAGCTGAACCAGGACGAGTCACAAGAGACGTTATGGATGTCCCATAATAGTCCGCTATTTTGAAAACCGTCAAGGGCATAGGGGAAAGTTTACGGACTTACACGACACCATAACACGGTGTTTACGGCCTTCCCAGAAAGAAGGCACCGGAGGCCCAAAAACTAAGCTAAAATATCAGTAAGAAGTTTGATTACCATATCCTGCAAATTTTATTTGTAAGCCCAGTATTTTTACAACAGAAAAGTCCTCCCGAATTTTAAATAAACACTTGCTGCATTCTATGTTCTTTCTTTATCAGAAGTAGGAACTTCGTCAGTCTTTATGATAACATAAATAACCCACCCTCATTATCACTATATGCGTGGCATTAAATCCGATCAAAACGTGCTTACGAACATGAACATCCTACAGTTTATCAGAGACCCCAGAACGAATCAGATATTACATCATCCAGCATCGGAAGCTTTCTTAAGTTGAATATTCAGAAAATCCCTTTAAAAATTGATGTTTGTAATTGTTTAACACTTGAAAACCATTAAGTAAACAAAGCAACGCCATTCTTTGTATCAGATCGCAGCTTAAAATGTTAAAGACCAAGCCAGGAAGAGGTTTTAATATAGCATACTGTTCCCAAGGACTTACTCAGTTACATCTTATATTAGATTGTCTGGTTGGTTGATCTACGATAGCGGTGACTCGCCGGGTGAATAAATATTTTATAGCTATTATTCCTGGCTGAACCACCATACTTATGAGACAAATAATAATGTTAGTATGTACGATTATACTTTTGTAATAGTTCATGATCAATAGTAACAGGGTGATAAATTGCTCTGTGGTTAAAACGAGAGAACTGATTTCTCTCGTACTTTCAGTACATAACCGCAAAAACTGTGTGAATACATGCTAAGTTTTTCGATGTTAAGAAATTCTGTTGCAAGGTCGATACATACTCAACTGGCACTGAATTTTTATGCATCAGTCGAGTTCCACGGTTCAAAAATATCATCCTCGAAGTTCAAATTGATGGCTCCCTCACCAGCATCAAACCGTTCAGCAGCAGCATACATATCCTGACGTAGCTGCTCTACCTGTTGCTCCTCGTGTAGCTCAGCGTCTGCCTGAGCATAAGCAGCCTCAGCATTGACTCCCCACCTCCTCTCCACTATGTGATCTAGCAGGCGCTCCTCAGCCCACTCTTCACAATAAAAACCACTCAGCGATGTTTCCAGTCTTGTGAAGCGCTGCGCCACTAGATCCATTGGCTTAAACTTTCGCCTGGCTCTTAGTTTCTTCTTGTTGCTCAAAGCCAGTAGGTCTTTTCTAGTTTCTTCTTCAATGTCTGTCTTCTCCATCGACTCTTCAGAGTCAATCATAACCTTGTTTGGCTGCATTCCGGTGAACTTCCTAAAGCGCCGGATCATAAAGTCGACAATCTCGTATTCGTTCTCTTGATCGTCAATGGACTCTTTCACTTCGGAGAACACATCCAACACGATGGTCAGAAACATATTCATCAAAATGAATGTGCCAAAGACCATTATCGTGAAGAAGAATATTGGCCCAAGAATAGGAGCCGCCTCTTCGATAGCCCTGTAATCAAATGATCCGAGCAGAATTCCCATCACAGTCTCGCACGTGGAAACAAAGTTGTAAAAACCGGAAATGTCCTTGCCGAAAACAGCAAACGCAAATAGAGAGTAAGACAGGAAAAACACCAAAAAGACAACGGAGAATGCAGCCAAAGGACCGGCAGAACCTCTCAGAGTTTGCGCCAGAATCGTAATACGACGGTTAAAGCGTAGGAGCTTAATTCCCTTGATCCAGGCAGTGAACACCACCATGCTCACCATGTACATGAAAACCTCGTTCCAGGAAGCCACTCGACCGAAACTGACGTATTTTCCTGGATTTTCTTCGAGACTGGTAATTGCCTGGCTCACGAGCATCGTACGCGTGAAAAACATACCCACACACGTGAAAACCAGAATGATCATTATAAATTCGATATAGTTCCAGAACTCTTTGAAGTATCCCTTACGAAGCCTGTACAGTTGCTTAAGTTCTTGATAAATGAACACAGCAAAGAAAAGGAGGATGAAAAACTCGCAAGCAAGAAGAAATGATTCAAAACCGCCTCCGAAGGTGAAAAGGCGAGCAATCTTAAGGTCAGTGAACAGGAAAACTCCGTTGGTAGGGAGGAATTCTACAATCAGAGTCATAACGCAGAACAGATTTACTACAGGGTTATATGTGGCTATTTCCACGATGACTGCGCGGGTTTGTGAATCAATCCATTTGTTTTCCTCCAGGATCTGAATTATTTTCGTGGCGTTCTCTCTGGTGTATCCCAACTCCGCCACAAATCCGCCCCCACCATATGTCGACACGAATCCTAGGAGGATAAAGGAAGATTATGAAGAGATTAGCCATGGAAGGAATAGATCTTAAACTTTTTCAAGATAAAAATTAGTGATAATAATTTTGAACGACGTTTCGACCTCGTTGAGGTCATTTTCAAGCTGATGATTAATCGGGAACCACATTAAAGAGCGGCATGGACATACCCCAGGTGATTTGCCTCACAGTTTCAAAATCCTGAAGAAATGCAAAAGTAAACTGGACTGCCTAATTTACGAGATGCTTTTTATAAAAGAAATTAAGCCAAGCTTAAACAAACAGTCAGACTCAATCCGCGCAAAGCTAATTTTATAATAATTTACGGTATCTTCGTATAATTTATAGTTTTACTTTCGTCAACTCTCATATTAATTTATTCGTATTGTCTCCTTTACAATTTTATCACTTCTATTTTACGCCTAGCGTTTACATATTTCCATATTTTAATCGCCTTTATCATTCCCACGTCTTGAATTTAGTACATATATGTAAAAATTTTCCTTCTCATCAGCTTGAAAATGACCTCAGCGAGGTCGAAACGTCGTTCAAAATTATTATCACTAATTTTTATCTTGAAAAGCTTTTCTAAAAAACTACTTATCAAGATCTTAAATTTAAAGTTAATATAGTACTATCAGCGTCCGGACTGTGATTACGCAAAGTATGAAATAAAGTTGAAGAAAAGCAACGGAATACCAAGAGTTCTAAATAGGAAGCGCTTTCTCCTATGGAAGATACACATGTCTCACCCATCACAGGTAATGTGTCCAGTTCATCCGATGTGTTGAATTCCCAGGCTTGGTAAGTAAATGGTGGAATATACAAAGACTCGTTCTTGAGTGGCTCCCATCCGATATCAAACTGGCCTTTCTCCTCGGAAAAAAAGCCATACCAGTCGTTGCATTCGTCGATGTAAGGTGTGAAGTCTGATGCTACTTCACAGGAGTCTTAAAAAGAATAAATCGCGAAATTAGTCTAAAGGTCTCTTTCTTACCGAGGACCACTCAAACACAAATGATAACCGACCAATTTAGCTTTTGAAATCCTGTTCTAACGTTTGTTTAGTAAAATCTAAGCAAGAGTGTTCATCAGTTTCCAAAAAGCCCCGTAGCACTGAAGACTAACGGGCTCGTCCATTTACGCACTGAGGTGGCCTATTCTCGAAGACCAATTTACATAGACATGGACGACCTCTCTTTTTTTCACCCTGATCTGTTCTTTTGTTTCAAGCTGTGGATTAGGTCTTTATACTTTCCAATTACTTAACAACCTACAATTTTTAACTCTGAGTTGTCTTAGTCTTGCCATTCCCACGATGTATGCCGACAAATCTGCAGTGAAGCCAGGCTCCGTGTCATCTCCATTATACCATGCTGTGGTATACAAAGCATTCATCAGTGTCGTCTTAGCATACTGATAGAAATTTTCTCGGCTTCCAATCTACATGAGGTCAGTGAAAATAAAATATGTCGTTAGTACATACATTCGAACCTGTATTTAGCGGCACCGTATTGAGCGGCACCGTATTGAGCGGTCACCCTGTATCAAGCGTTCGATTGTCAAATTCCGAATATGTTTTACCCTAATTTTTACTCTGTTAAGCGACCACCGCTATTAAGCAGTCGCGTTACCCTTTACTAAGTCCCGACGGCCTGTTAGTATTGTTTTCCATCTGTATCGAACGGTCTCTTAAAGCAGAAATACCAACATAAAAACTAGGAATCATCTTTCAAGTAGCTTTTATTCTGTTTCTTTCCCAAAATCAAAGTGAGTGGTATTTATGGGCGAGATTCTGTATATTAAGTTGTCAATTATGGCACAAAGTGGCGTTGTGTATCATTTTTGATAACACCCCAATCTGTGGAACCTGCATCAGCCATTCCACGGGGGTAACCGCATAATACAGTTTCGACTGTAAAATGAAGACTTTGTACTCTCTCCTCCTGCAAAGAGTGCTAAGCTGATATCGTGTTCAGTTGTGTCAGGTAACTGAAGCGTTATTATTTTTAATCACGACAGTGAGATATGCAGGTATGGCCATGGTCATGTTTCACCAATATTGTAACCTTTTAAACTGTAGCGCCTATCACTTGTACTCAAGGGAGACCTAGACGACATGCTTACCGCAGAGAAGCTCTTTTGGCCTCCGTGAACTCCCTCTACGAAAGAATTATACATTTCTTCTCTAAAAGCAAAGGAAGTAGGGTCCCTGTGAGAATAGCTGACGATGCATAAGCAAGCCACGAAAAACACGTACAACGCAACTTCCTTGACGATTGCATTCATTTTCATTTCTTTAAATCTGAAAAAAAAGCGTATTTTTCTGTTAAAAAAAAGTGGCATTTTAGGAAAGTAGATGATGCATAACTATTGATGAACATGTAAGAACGGCAAAAAGATAATCTAGGAGATAGGAGAATTATCTCTAAGTCACTTTAAGCCAGATCCAACGACCCCTCATTGGTTATTAAAGGTCATGCTGATAAACTGATTCAAAATAATTGAGTAGTTACAGATGAGTGTACCTGAGTTGTCTGGCTTTTTCCAGTTTCGACTTGTCGGGTGGTTGTAAACGAATCAGTGTCTTTGGTTTCATTCTTCTGTCGCCGGATTCTGGAAAAGAGAAAAGGGTCAAACATTAATTGGTAGTTTTGAGAAAAGAATTTCTTTTACACTCGGAGATGATTCTGGAAATCATTATTATGGTTCGTCGCAATTAAACGTGAATGGAAAAGAAGGGGATGGGGCTCAAGGAAGAATTGCACATTAAAAAAGATGAGTGGGAAGTTGTGAATGGTTTGATAAGGATGCTGTGGCTTTACTAACCTCTTGGACCGTCGTGCAGCCAGTCCTCGTCGTCGAGCTTTTTCTTATCTCCTTCCTCTTCCTCTTCTTCCTCTGCAGGTTTCTTGATGATGATTGCGATTACAAGTGCGACTGCGAGAATTTTGATTGGCTGACTGATAAGAACATCTTGAAAGAATGAGATCAACATGGACGAGATCCACTGAGCAGATTTTTCTTTACCAAATTGTAGTCCATAGAGGACACAGAATAAAGCTGTCGTGAAACACGTTAAAAAGCAAATGACCCAGCCGATGTAAAGAAACCAATAGGGCAGCAACTTCTTCTTCTTCTTCTTTTTCTTCTTTTGCTTTTTTTCCATCTCTTCTTTTCGTTCCTGTTTAGAGATTCTAAAACTTATGTCTTCTGACTCGACACCTTCGGCTACTAGGATCTCGTCGTTTGCGGCCAAGTTCGTTTTGGAGCTAAAGTCCAAAAATGTTTCCTCTTTTCTCGAGTCCTTTTGCAAGATTTCGATAAAATCGTTCTTGTTGTTTTTGTTGAAGTCGAAGAAGCAGAAAAACAACTCTTGGAACCACCAACATGTTCTTTTACTGCGTCGCTCTCTAAGTTCTTCTTTCGTTGGCCTAGCTTCGACATTACGAAAGATTCCAACGATTAAGAGGTTAACAGGTACGACGATCAAACTGCTCATAATGCCAATGCCAATTTGAGCGGGACTGAAAGCCAGAGGTCCTATCTGAATGGTAGAGGCAGGATCGCTTTCTCCTCCAACCTGGTAAAACATGGCGTTTGTGATCATAGAACAGTACAAAAGGGTTAAACAGCAGCTGATGCGCTGAAGTCGCGTGAAACGACTTTTTGCTGGCCGCATGAAGACGGAGAACCACAGATGGCCGTCTGCGAGATTTTTCTGTGTAGTGGAGTAAAACAGGTGGTTAAAGCTTGTCATTTCATCGAGGCCTGCCACAGGAATAAGTCTGTCGACTGCACCGTCACCTTCCTCAACAGCGAGCCAACTCTCGCAGATGAACAAGAATTTCTTGTCATTGTTGAGGTCGTGAACCACGACACGACTGACATACCATGAAGGCGAGCGACCTACAGCCAAAAGGAAGGCATCAGAGTCAACCACGGAAGCAGTTAGATTTATGACCATCACTATACTTTGGAAACTCGATATAATACAAACACCAAGATTTTTGTAACGGGAAGGAAGTTTGGTAACTGTATCGCCGGTTTTTTTTTTCCATTTGGTTGTGAATAATACGTATCTTTTAAATCCTTCGAACGGGAGAAATGAGATTGATTAACCATTCATTAGCACTAAATCATTTCATTTCATATCTTTCTGGTACATAAGATCATATGATCAGTTCTGGAACATGATCCATTCCAAACGAAAATACGTTACCTCCATTATTGTGCCACAGGTGTAGGTAGTTCAGTTCCCCAAAACTTTCCGGAAACGTTGCCAAGAATACGTCTACACCACGTCGCTGAAACGTCTTCCCTTTAGGATCTTTGAGCAGACGGGGCTCACTTTCGCCTTCATCCCCGGAGAGTATAAAACTGACCTCGGCTGTAGTTCCTGCACGTTTTCCGAATCCCGTGTACACTGTTATCTCGTAATGGTATTGGTCAAATGACTCGTTGTCCTCCAGAGGAGTTACTCCTGCCTAAAAGGTCAGATATAATTGCAATTTAAAAAAGGAATATGGATTTCACAACTGACAGGTATAAGGAAATCAGGGAATCTTATTTTGTCCTACAAGGGGAAGTAGATGGTTCCTGTAATCGAACAGATGCTCGCCAGAAGAGGCTGCGCTTTTAGGCAAAATTCATTGTCAGAGACAATTCTAGAGTTGAAATTAAGTTTTAATATGATTCCAGGTATAACATTCATTGAGAACCTCGCCCCAGTCTGCGAACCTGAAATTGAGTTGAAATTAAGTTTTAATGTGACTCTAGGGTATAACCTTCATTAAGAACCTCGCCCCACTCTGCGAATCTATCACTTCTGCTCCAAAGGTGTAGTGGCTACTCTCTCTTAGCTTGTTATTTAAGAGGATACATTGTGATAGTATGGCAAATCTGGTCTCAGTATGCAACACAGAAACCGTGTTATTGAGTCCAACTCTCAAAGATCTTCCTCGAGTGCACTTCAAACACTGGCCTATGGTCTTACTGTAGACTCTCTGAGCTATTTTAACGCTATTCATACCCTTTCAACATCCTTTAAGTCTTCTCTCCGTGCATAAATAGCCAATATCAGGTAAACCCCAAATATTCCACAAACAACAGCCAGAGCGATAGGATTCTCTGCTAGTTTAGCGTTAAACACCTTGTTGAAGTCGATCGGGTTTGGCGCCACGAACATGCTACCTAAAAAGTGATATCAACAATAAGTCACTAAAACAACCGATCGAAAATCGATTGACGAGAAAACAAACAGGCAGCTAATCATTTATCAATCTACTAATCATTTAATTATTTATCAATCTATCAATCCATTGCCAACAGGCAATCGCTTCATTAGTCTAAGTGTAGTCATGCCTCCAATAATGTGTTAAGAGATGTTACTCGAGACAATAATGATAGGATAGTGATAATAAAACATTTCATGATAGAGAATAGCTTAGGATAAGTGCACTGGAAAAAGGTTTCCCCACGCTTAATTGGACTGTTCACGTTTGCACTTTGTTTTTGTAGATTATCAAAAATAGTAAAACACCAGGCACTCTCAGAAAAGAACGAGTGACACTCACTAGCAATATTCACTTTGTTCACACTTTTTCTGAATCGTCGTCGCTGTACAACTTTTTTAACGGGCTGTGAATCCCCACTTGAGGCAGCCACTGTCGGTGCCTCGGTTGTTGCCTCAAATTCTTCTTCAACCTCTTCCTCCTCGTCTTCTCCGGGTGTACATAAACAATGTGTGCTGTTAGCGATGGTTTTTGGTCCAACCTGGTATGGAAAAGTTTAAATGAAGCGAAGTATTAAGAACGATCATGGCTTTTAGACTTCCCTAGTTGAATGAACTCTTGGCTGACATATTCACGCAATTGTTGGAGTCGAGTTATCTTGAAGTCATTCCAGAGTAATTGGTTCTGCACTCATCCCTTTTTCTTGGTACTCAGAAAAATAACTTAAGGATAGAAAATGGGTATTATAAGTTGGTAAGATTCTAGATCACAATTGGCGAAGAAGCATATCATTAAGGTTCAATCGGGACTCGTACAAAAGGAATAAAGCTATCAAATAAAATGTCTAAAGAGTTGACCAAACCATCCGGTTCATAAATAAAGGGGCTTGCCTTGGTTTCTATGGCCTCAAGTGAAGAGGAATATCATAACTTTTTCAGGAAGCAAAGTCAGTCCGGTACAGACGTGCCTTAAACACTTTTCATGAATTTGTATCGTTTTATGTATTGGCACCTATTTTAGCTCCTGGATGGAGAAGTAAACTGTGTCAAGTGTCAGTCTCGATAGATAGACCCCCTTCCCCCATGTCCCAAAGCCAAAAGAAAATTAAAAAACATTGTTACCTTACAGCCTTTTGTTGTCCAAGTGTTTTTATCTTCATCAAACATTTTACAGGAAGGCAGATAGATTCGCATGGCATAGCTGGTGTTTGCGTTACTCAAAGCATCTTTGTTTATAGCTTTCACACCTAAATAGAACTGCTTTATTGTCACGTTGGCCAGCAGAGTAGAGAGATCTGTACCATTATTGCTTTCGTTTTGTCCTCTAATGAGCAGAGGGTTGAGCAGTACGTGCGGGATCACATAGGTAAATGGGTGTGGCCGTTTCTTCATTTTCTTTGCTTCCGTTGGAGTCGGAAAAGTGTGCACAAAATCGTAATGATTTGCAGTCGGTTTTTTATCGTACCTCACTGCAACCATAAACTTGATATCTGGGTGAAAAAACTTCATCTCTATGGCAACAGCTGCCTCTATACTTGAGCGATTGAATTTATGAATGCGCATGGGAGGATCACCCTCTGCGTAGTGGTTGAGCTCCATGGGTTTAACGGGATTTATCTTGAGATTTCGGGGAACAAACATTTCCAACTGTTGCCCTGCTAGGTCCAGCGGCTTGCCGTTACCATCCGTGAGTGATAATCCAACCGTTTTAGAATTTAAATCACTAGAACTGTTATCCCAAGCAAACGGGTTCTTGTCCATCGCAGAGAGCTAAGTAGACAAGTGAGGTTGAACAAAGTTACAGGAAAGACAGAACTTACTTAAAAGGTTTGGATGTACCCATCAAACTGGATGCGTGTGACAAACATAGATTTGAATTTGCGAACTACTTTGATTCAAAGGTAAGCCATCCGCTCATGGCACACTACAGCTTCGTCTCCCAACAGAGAACCCTGATTTTGGGCTTTAGCTTAGGACAATTTTTTAATGACGCTGGTTGAAGGCTCGCACACAGAATAAAACAAATCAGCTGGCCAGCCGTTAGCTAGTTTTAACAAATAAATAAAGAACAAAAAAGTCTCAGTAACGTGAAAAATCGACAAAAACAAATCCATCCACGCACTATAATGCGACTTGCTAAATTGGTCGCTCTGAGGAATGATACATGATAGGAATGATAAATTTTGTAATTAGCTGATGCACAAACCGTTGAGCCGATGGCACTTGTAGCTCCATCTTCCACAGAAGCATTAGCCCCTCCAAAGAGCGCCATAGGGTCGGGTAATTTGACTCCACCCATTCCTTCCCCTTCCTCGGCATCTTCGTCGTCGTTCTCGCCACCGATATCATCAATAGTCTTTCTTCCAACAGACATGTCCAGATTTGGCGACGATATCGACTTCGGTTTGTCTCCTGCTGCTAGCTGCTTCATAAGAGCACCACTGACCTTGTCTACCACGCCGAGAGCGTTTTTGGTGTTGTTTCGACTTTTGCTCTATGGAAGTAACGTTAAAATTGATAGATAAAAAATTAGAGCCCGTTAGTTGTAAAATACAGTAGTACGGTCTCGTTTCTGCGCGACACTTTTTATATTTGCAAGCTAAAAAGAAGAGTGAAGAAGAGAAAGATCGCCAATTGCAGAAGCAGAGCGCGATTTTGGATAAAAAATCATCCTCAAGGCGCCTTTTTGCTCATTTAAAGGTGGGACGAATAGCAAGGTAATATCGTTTATCGTAAACGTCTTTTTTATCTTCTTAAGAAGACTTGGTGAGCCCCTGGTTGTAAGGAAAGTTAACACCATGATCACATCAGCCAGGTTACAGGACAGTTGCAAACACTTACAAAATGTTTGTTATTTAGATTCTAACGTAAAAGAAGGTAGGGACGCTAAACAGATGACAATTTCAGGCTTAAACGATATATTATTACCCGTTTGATTGATAGTAACTAAGAATATGGAAGCGGCAAAATGAAATGACTTGACGAATCAAATTACCTTGCTAAGTCGTAATAGTGTGTTCTACGCTATATAGTTACCATAACCCCAATCAGTTATTAAAAGAAACAATAAAGATAGACATGTCAGCGAACATGTCTATCTATAATACTTACTGGATCTCCCGAAGACGTTCCATTGGCGGCTTTTTGATATGAGTCAATTGACGCTCCTACTACATTGCCAATGGCGGAACCCAGACTTTTTGCTACATTTTCCACGTCACGTGCGCTGTCACTGCTCGTCAGGAAGTCACCCATCTCACCTAACGCATTCACTGTAGCGTTCTGTTGAAAAGAGAAAAAAGGAATGCCAGATATAAACATGTCTACTTCGTACATATTTTCAAATGTTCCAGCGTTTCTCGCAATTTTTTTTTTTTGATCAACCTGGTGTTTATGAACGGAGTGGAATTTCACCTAACTTTGTCCAGTTCCTTTCCTTAGAACATCTTAAAACATCATTTTAAAATTGACTAATGAAAGGAACAGTATATCGCAGCAGTGCCATCCACAAGTTATCACAAGGAAACGGCTGGACCCCGGTCGCACACAGGTGCCTCGTTTAATCTTCCTGGTATTACATTTCTCATTTCTTTCATTTCCTCTTATTTAGCTCTTTGTTTGTTGATATCTTAAAACCATTAAATAGCATGAAAAATGAATAAACATTTTTAAAGGTATCACTGAACGCGTTTACCTGAGCGTCTTCGTCCACTTCACCTGTCGCTGATGTCAGTGAGTTGAGAGCTTCTCCCTTCATGGCTACACCGTCAAAATCTTTGACAGGGAGCTGACTTAACTGACCAGCTACCTTGCCACGGAACTGAAAACCAATAAATGGTCTAAAGTTCTAGCAGCTATACTAGGATGGAGTCATATAAGGCTCAATGGATAGCTTCATCTCATCATGACTGCTTCCGTATATGAGTTGACAACAGGGTAACTAATTCAATCGCAGCGGTATCGACTACAAACACGGTTAAAATGAGAGAGAAATTGGATTTGGTGCTTTTTAGGATGGGTTCCTCCTGCCCTTCCAAAAAGGAGCCTCTCCGTGGGAGGTGATTCTGAATTAAACCATCAATTTTCAGTAGGGTATTGCAGCGAGTTTTCTACAATTGACAAAAGGGATGAGGCCGGAAATAAGACATGATAGCGGCAATAACATACCGCAGCTCTTTCTCCTGCTCCATCGTCACCTTCCTTGCCCGCTTTAGCTTTCAACACAGAGCTTGCCGCTCCTGCGAGTTGAACAGCTTTTTGGTCTCCTCCCTCGCCACCTGCAGCGGCTTCCATGTCTCCGAACACTTGATCGTAATCGACATTGACTGGTTCTAGGACCTAGAGAGATCGTAAGAGAACAGGTTACGGAATTCCTTTCACAATATGCTCAGCCAAAAGTTTCAGAGTTCATTTGTGTCAAGCAGGCAAATCGTCCCTGCTGTTGACCTTTTATAACCGACTGATTGTGTGCTGAATAAACACACAATGAAGAATAGGGAAAAGTTACATTTTTCGTAAAATTCATTTCAGAATTTGAGGCTCTCGATACGTACCCGTACAGAAAACTGAGTTTCAGTACTCAGTAAATAGGCGTCCATGACTTTCACTCTGACTTCTATCGTATAATTGTATTCCGGCTTGCCAAGGGGAAATACCGATGTCATATTGTTGTCAAGTCCCGCAGATAAGGGAACAATTTCTTCTCCATTTTTAAGCTCTGAAAAGCATGAAGTAGAACAATTGTTTTTATTGAGGTACAGTAACCTAGAGTCATCGAACCCTTCACTTAAGCTTCCTTATCAGTAGGAGGAAGAAATTAAGATAAACGAGAAGCTTTGAGATGGCTTTGTTGACCGGGTCGCTGGAGATCCGGCTAAGAAATTGCAAATGTTACTTAAATTAAGCTCGGATTAGCTGAGCTAAAACTACGCTTTGCCATGAAAATTAAATCTTGACAAGTCAAGACGAACAGCTCGGTCAATGAAAGCCAAAGATTACTTTCCTCATCCATATTGCACTTTGCAAGTCTTTCTCTCTAATAGAGGTCAAACATTGGTAATCTTAAGCTGGATTTCAATTCCTTCTTTTCGATCACTTACCGATACAGCTCCACTAACACTTCGAAACATTTCTCGGCAATTGTCAGCTACACACTATCATGAATCTCTCCCTGACCCCTTAATTAGTCCTACCTATCAGATAAGTAAGAGGTACATCTGGATCCGACCATTCCTCGCACATCACGTTAAACTGAGTTTCCAAAGCGAAGCCTTCAGACACAGGGACACTACACTTACCCCCTGTGGGGGCAATGTTCATTACCATCTCCTCTATCACATAACCTCCCGGGTATCCCCCTGGTCTCCATGCATTAAGTTGTAGCCTGTACGTCCGTCCGGGTAACAGGTATCCAGCCTCAATAATCAAGCTTGATGCTTTAAGTCCTGTGGCTTGTGTATAGTCCGTCCAGTCTGTTTTCTCTTCCCAGGAATTCTCGTCATCTTTACCGGCTCCTTCGAGTAGCAGGGAGAGTTTCCACTGATACTCCAGGCGATCATCAATCTTGCAGTCGATGCACCGACTCTCCATAATCAGCCGTTTGAAAGGATTTTTCTTCGCAAGCACGTTGAACACATACCTAATGAGCAAACATGAATAGCTTCTATTAGCTTCAGAGTTTTGCTACATTCATCAAGATAAGAAACTTGAATGATTGTCTGAAAGATGGACCGATGCGCTACGTGAAAAAGTAAAATAAGTTTGTCTCTCTGAAAGCCACTCATCTGAAGTTCGTCTGTTGTCATCTCGCGTTTCGTGAGGAATTTGCCTCATTAAAATAAATTAGTTTATTCATCAGCAAGAAACAAGATTTTACATTTTCAAACCTGCGACTTTAAGCCGAATTTTTTTCCGATCACCATTAGTGTCTAATATGAGCCTAAGGTTAATATTATTGTTAACAAAAGTGCTTTTACCTGAAATGAAAAAGGTTTATCCGGTAGAATGAACTTTTCCCTGTCTTTTCGGGTGATCATGGTGGTACATGAGAAATCTCACCCTTATTTTGTCTATTCCACAGTTCTCAATGAAGACAAATTCAGTGGCTTGACTACGTTTTTTCCATCAGATTACAAGTTATTGTTTGAAAAAGAAAATCGAGAGACTAACAGACACAAATTCCTATTCAAATGAAAACAAGAAACGAACACATAGTTCATTCTCCTCAAAGATTTAACTTTTCTCATATCAGAAGATTTATTATCGTCAATCACATCCAGGAAATTTTTGGCGTATAGGCAAGATTGTGGTGCTTTCTTTTCCACATCAAGTTTAGTGATGGATTATCTAATGCCATGAATGAAGTAAAATTCGGTAAGACGCAGATTGGCCGACATTAGCAGCTTAAACTTAGTTTTAAAACTTACTCTATCACCATGGTCGGCGGTTGTCCTCGTAGAACTTCAACCCTTTGGTCATAGTGGCTCTTGCGAGTATCCTTCTGCACTATAACACTAAAATCATACATAGTGCCTTGATAGAAGTCTCCCGTGAACACCGAAGCTATTTCATTATTGCCGCCAAAAACGTAAGTCCCATTTTCCCAACATCCACCACTTTCAACTTTTAACGCAGTGGTTTCTGGGAACTCTTCATCTACCTTCTTACACATCCAAGTGTACTCAATGCCAGTCTTGTCATTCGGAAAGTCCGGATCCTTAGAGTCAGACGCATCCAATTTCAGGAGTAATTGGTAGCCGATGGAACGCTTGAAACTACCTGAAATACATGGAAAGAATTCTAATTACATATGATCTTGTGTGCCATTGAATTTCCCTGAGCATCCTTTTTGACACAATACCGTTGTACACTTTACAATTCGGCCAACTACCTGGTGACTTTACTTTTCCATTTCCTTTAATTCCATCAACACAATGAATTAGGGGCACTGAGGGCTGAATTTCCCTTCCTGAGGAGCATATTTTATTTATTTTGAAAATATCTGCTGTTTGACTGGCATCTTGCAAAGCCTCCAGCTAAAACTCGTTGTGAATGTCTTGTCATAGTTTTTGTTTTTTTCATTTTCTTTTTTCCATCCCCTCCTTCTAAGTTCTCTGAGTCCTTGCGAGATCCCTTGGGTTGTCCTTACAGTTCGATGGTATATCTCGGAAATTACTAAAATGAAGCTGTTTTAAAATATGTCTGCACGAGTGACCAGTCTGTGGTACTTGAGAAATGAGACTTCCCTTTAAAGAATGAGCTTATTTTATGGTCTTTCCCTGGATGGAATTAAATTAGGTCATATCCGCTTCTTAAGGTGCTAGAGATGAAAAGGGAAAGAGCTACAAAATCTTAAACGGCTGCAAGATGTATAGACTTGAACTAAAAGCACGAGCTGTCTTTTTCTCGACATACCTCTTATTACTGCAGTCATTTCAGACCGCTTTACTTCAATCCATACATTGTCCGTGCCGGCGAATTCCGACAGGTCCCGATCCTTCCCCTGAAAGCTGACTGTAAGCTTAAACTTGATGTGGCCGAACGGAAGCTTCGTTTCTTTTATCAGCAAGTCCGCTCGCCGCAAAGCGTACTCTGTAACGGGATTAGTAAAATTGTGCACAAGGTTTACTGACAAATCCGAAATTGGAATGCTTTCGTTACTTCGGTCTTCATAGCTCACAAGGAAGACGCCCCAAGTAAAGACAATACTGGAGGCCACAGGACACTTATAGGAAACTTCGTGCCTTAGCGTGAGCATTTCGGATTTTTTAATCTTCTGTGGCGGATCTTTGAAATCTTCTCCAACGATTTTCACTGTAGGTATATTGCATGGGTTGGTAGTAATATTCACGAGAGTGCTGGCAACTTTCTTTGACACAGTGTTGAAAGCCGAAAGTTTTGCAGGGTATGACCCCATGTCATCGTATTCATGAGTAAGCTCGACTTTAGTCTGATTGGAATTCAACTCAAGAAATTTGTTATTAAGGGGTAGTAATGACGGTCTGCAACGTGGCTCGCCCATGAACGTTATATGCGAGTCCTGAAAATCGAGAGTCAGACATGTGTCTGTTCCAGGTTCCTCGATATGAATGGTGAAATACGTTGGGTCGCCGTAATATGTAGGATAACTAGCGCTAATCGATATCTTTTCGACCGCTTTCTCTATAACAATGTCTTTGGTGGAATTCATTGTAGCTAAAATATTATTTACAGTCACTCCAGTTCTGTAAATCCCAGAACGGTTGTACACATGGGTTGTGTATGGTTCCGAAGTGACTTTCCGTGGCGATCCATCTTCGAAGTCCCATGTGTAACGTTCATCTTTGGCCTGCATCGTAACGTTGAAAAAGACAGTTTCCATGGCACGGAAAAAGTTTTTGAACCGTCCAAAGCCTTCCGTTCTTACTCCTTCTTCAATTCGCATCACACTGATACTGACATCTTTGATCTCTTGTACATCAATATCCGCTGTTAGAACGAGACTGCTAACATTGTTAGAAATGTTAACCAATGCTGTAAAGATCCCTTCCGATGTATATGTATACGTCTTTACAAACAGCTGCGAGGGTGAAATTATAAAAGGCGCACTCTGTGTGAGACCAGACCCATCCGCAAAATTCCAAACACAGACCGCATTAGTCGGTGGCGTCCCATCTGCTACTAAACGCAGGTTGAGCGTGGCTATCCCAGGGTTTAATCTTATAGGGCTGTCTGTCGTCAGAGAAATGTTCGCTACTGGATATTCAACGACTAAAGCATCGGTTAAATCCAAAGAAACATCCGAAAAAGAGTTTGAAACTGTAACCCTCACAGGAAATGCTCCTGGCCTAGCAAAGGCGTGAGAGCTAGATTCAAGTTCGTTTTGTTTCGCCAAAGTACGATAGGATGTGTCTGTGCTGCCATCATTATAATCCCATACGTATCTAATCCGGGAACCCTCCTTAACTCTGATATCAATAGCAACGCTTTCATGCACTCGGATGAACCTTTTCTGGCTTGTCACTGTCACGCCTTTGATAGGAATGTCCACATCGTGAATGCCTGTGAATTCCGCCTCTCCCAGACGATTATGACACTTTACAGAAATGTTGTAAGAGCCAATCGCCGGGTAATAATGAAACAGAGGCTCACGGAGATGTGTGTAGTCGATCTTAAGCCTGTCTCCGTCTCCGAAGTGAAGCGTGCAGAAAAAGACTGTTCCCGTTTTCATATCAACGATGATCTCTGAATCGTTCTTAAAAATGGCTGGATTAGCACTTAAGGTGAGTCCTGTGATATTTTCAATATTCTGGACCACGACCGTTGCGTTGAGAAGTCGCTTGACCGAATTGACGGCATTATAACATGTGATCTCTACCTTATAAACTCCAACCCTGTTATAGACATGGCTCGTGCTGTACTCGATGCTCACTGTTGGTGGTGTCCCATCCTTGAAATCGAACGAACACCTGACATTGGTTCCATTCTGTACGACACGGTTAACAGTGACCGTATCACCCACAGCAAAGTAAACCTTCTGCGTGACATGGGCAGCAGGGAGACTGAATTCCACCTCTGAAACTGGGATTTCAACAACCGCCGGAGAAATTATGGAAATATTCGGACCAACCAGATTAAAAGCAAAAACACTAACTGTATAGTTTCCAACAGCGGAATACAGATGAGTAGTGGAGCATTTGCGACTTCCGTCCAATGTGGTGGCCTTTTCGTATCGGGGGCTACCATCTCCAAAATCTACCACAAAAGTTATGTTGGTACCTTCAGCTGCTTCCCACTTGATTTCAGTCGACAAGCCAAGTGCCTTAGCTTTGATTGGATTGGAAAATGTAAAACCTTTTATGAAATCGAAAGCAGCGATAACTGAATGTAAAACTTTTTGGTTTACAGAGTTTGCAACAGTGAGTCTTATATAGAAGGTCCCAGACGACGTATAATTGTAGGTGGTTGAGTTTGACTGAGTGCGCACACTGCTTCCATCTCCGAAGTCCCATATATAAGTAACGTTGGAACCGGAATGCCAAGGAACATCAAACACAACTGATTCGTGAGTGTTCACGATGCTTCGATGGCTCATCGTGACGTTCTCGCCCACAGGAATATCCACTGCTACCAGCACAGTTTGCGTGATGTTCGAGATCAAGTGTTTAACTCCTGTGGATTTATATAAATGCCGTATGACAAAGTCCGCGGCATGAACATAGTGTGCTGCCACGATATAATGCCTGTGATACATACTGGGATTGCTTGACCTAAGTAAGGTGTCCCCTATCTGTGGGTTGGTGTGGTACTCGAACTCGAAAGCTGCTCCGTCAGCTGGATTAATCTCTCTAAACGCTAGATCCCCACCATCGGAAATCCAACCAAGAACATCTCCTTGTCTCACAGAGGGCTGCTCATTAGTTGGTAAAGTCTTAATATGATGGCCCAGGGTGTCAATAGTAATCAGGTTCTCAAATATGAGCTCATAATCCGCCCTGGGTACGTCGGTCTTATGCGGCACTAATGGAACACATGCTTTTCTAGTTTCTGTGATATTTGCTATGCAACGCCTTCTGAAGATGCAGAAAATCTCCGAAGGTTGGCATTTTTTCTTGTAGGTAGGATCACAAGTTTCACCTTCCTCCACACACGACTTGTTGGACAGACAATACTTTTCACCAGCGTCACAGCGAGGACGGAATATCTACGAATAAAACTCATATTTTTATTCAATTTGTCGCATGTACCCATACTCTAATCAAGTTACAAGCTGAGAAGAAGGTTAACCATGCCTACTTGTAATCTTAGCTTTCCTATCTTTGCTCCTTCAAACTCGAATTCAGTGACTGTGCCATCGTGTCGGAACTCATATGCTGGTGATACGATCGTCCCTTGGGGGCTTGGCATGATTGAATAAAATGTGTCATTATCGCGTGGAATTTTTGGACCAGCGTTGTAATAACGAGAACCTAACAAAATAAGTAGGTGATCGTTAAATACATTTGAGGTAAGAAATCATTTAGTTAGGCATGAATTATCTGCATGTAAACCATTTGTAAACAACGCTTCTGAATTAGCTGTAAGTTTTAAAAATTGAAGCAGATATTTGTCAGCAAGTTTTCATTTTCAGAAAGCTTTGCGCACTCAGAGCGAGAAATCGAGTCCAGGATATTTAAAAGAAAACTATCCGCTATCGGTTGTAAGCCGTTGCACGTTTTTCCATTTTGAGAATCGGAACTAGGAGTGACTTATGAGAAAAACATTACTATATTTGCGCTTGTTGGATAGGAGATTGATATAGCCAACTCTATGTCACGCACTTTGTTGGCTTATATCCAACACGCCCTCATCCAATAATTATCAATTCAACACAGACCTTGAAAAGATGGTACGAATACACATTACTGTAAGCTATAAATTACCGTTCATTTCAATTTGTAACTTGGCTTATGTAATGGAAGGTACTCACTCAAAGGGATGGACTCATAGCTTCCATCACCAAAGAAGAAAGTGTTGTTGATTCGTGAGCCCCGGATCAGTGAGCCATTGCATTCTATCCAGGATCCTAAGGGAACCGAGTGTGGGCAGAGAAGCTCTATGTGCCCCATTGGGTCATCTATGTTATACATCTAGATAAAAGAAATATTCTCGTGAAGCTCATGCGTGCCTTCCAAATTTTCAAAATGCATCAGCACTGGCAAATGAAACAAAACATTGAATAGATTCAAAGTTCTTTTAAGCTGATGCCACTCAGTTGTCTGTTTTATGATTGAGGGAAACTGTGGTTTGTCCAGATAGCGCGCCCCACCCTCTCGAAAAAAGGGAGATTCAGTTAGAACCAATCTTATGTTGGTTACAGCGTTTTCCTCAGTATGTGTCACTTTTTGTTGTAATTTCTTGCTACCACACTTAGTTATGGGTACCTGTGAAACGGTTACTGATCCCGTAACAAGATTTGTTGCTGTCATAGAAACAATGTATGATCCTGGCTGGTCGTAGATATGACGAACTTGAGGCACCTTCGATGGCTCTAACGATTTCGAGCCATCACCGAGCGTAAAGGAGAATGTAACGTTCATTCCATTGGTCAAATTCGCAGATATCGTGACTGGTTTCAGCACTTGTAAATGACCTGTGTTCATAAGACTTAAACCCAATATCCTCTCAGATGCAGAGTAAATGCTGATTTTTCGTTCGCCACCGCATCTGAGGGAGGTAAGGGAAAACAAGCTCATTATATGTACCCTTTTATCGCAAATTACTTCAGTCAGACAAGAAAAAATCCTAGCAAACACTAGTACAAGGTCCAAATTTTAAATTTCAAACTTTTTATCATCCCTTGAATCCTCTATCAAACAGACCCGGTCACAAAAATGAAGCCCAAAGAACTGTATCGACTGTTCAGCTTGATGGCAGATCAGAGTTTCATTTTCAGGCTTTCGCGATTTAATAGTTTAACCGTTATTGGCAAATTGGAAATGCTGGTGAATACTCACTCTACTATATATTTAAGAATTAACAAATACGTGCAGCTCTCTTGTGCGATCTATCAGACCTTCCGACTATGCGGAAACTGGCAATAGTTCCGTGGTTGTCTTCCTTATACATGTTGCCATTTTAATAATGTCACGTGCAGACTAGTATTTTTAATCGTTTTGAACTCTGATGTCGCAAGATATGTTATCATACGAAAAATGTGGAGTATCCCTAACCCTTAGCATACTTTCGTGTTTGTCTCCAGTTAATTCTTAGCCTTAAAGCCTCACCTAAGCCATTCTCGTGCTTCGTTAGGCCAGCTGTCTGAACCAGGACACTTCTTACCACATTCAGAATCATTCAATGCCATGGTTGAGTTTGGTAATGAATTTGCACAGAGACAGATATCTCCGTCTTCTAGAGCAGCATAATGATATTTCCTGCCGCACTGCCGCAGGCAGTGCAGTGGACTGATATCATTCCTATCATAATCTCCGGGGCTTGAGATAAACAAGCGTTCCTCTTCGTTGATGGCAAAGCAACCCATGTACTCTGAATGAAGAAGAAAACGTCATGTTATGATTTCACAAAATCACTTACTTTTAGTTCTACCAGTCAAAGTAGAGGCCAAACAACATATTAACTCAGGTTACTCTTAACAATTCGTGAATTTTACGGGCTGACTGTTCACCGCAACTTGTTTAAATCTCTGGATACAGAGACGAGTGAGAGTGAAAAGTCTCGTTCCTAGAAGCACAATACGATGACCCCATTCTGAACGAAATCCGGAAAACTAGGCCAGCAGTCCAGGTTACTAACCAGGGTATGGCAGCAAGAAAAAACGTCATTAAAATTGAAGTGATAATACCCAGTGGGGAATTCAGGAAATTCTCATGCGCTGGAAACAGAAAATTAATACTCGACGGAGTTTGAAGACAATATTTACTTAAACTTTCTTTCAGTGATGTTTTTAAAATGCTTCATCTTCACTTAAACATTGGATCTCATATCGTGCACTAACAGTTCGCACAATTCTATTGCACAAAGCATTAATTCAGTTACCCTTCTACATTTATTTATTTTGTCTCTTGTTTTTGCTTTACTCTCGTCTACCTTTTTGTGTCTTGCAATTTGTTTTTGAGCTGTTACGTATTTTTTAATTAAGTTTTTTTTTCTTCAACTTCGGTAAAGGAAAATCATCATAGGAAAAAACTGAACAAGTTTTGTTTTAGAGACAAGACGATAACATTTTAGAAAGCCGTCACTTTTCTTTTCTACCGTCGAATGTTCCAGCAATTACACGGCCGAAGGAAAACAAATAACTGTTAGTCACATGTATATTTTTGCAAACAACAATGAAACAGATCTTCAAAAAAGTAGACTGTTGTAAAATTAATGATGTTTATATTACAACTGTTCAGACTTGTACTCGTCTCGGAAAGCTTTCAGAAATCTGAAGGTATTCAAAATGAAGTGAAATGAGAAATGGGTGTTTCAAATATGAAAAAGAGTGATAATGTTCAGATAATGCTTCTTTTGATGTAAGTAAATGTTAACAGTTGTGCCAAAGAAATCAATAATTAACGATAGGCTATCAGTAATTTCATCTTAATTATTAAATACATCTTCCTTGAAAACCCACTGAGCCATGAATTTTTCATGAGTTGAGAGTTTCATAACTTTTCCTCTCTCGAAACCACTGAAACTATGCAACTACAGCTATAAAAATCTATCTAGTACGTAAATATTAACAGAACGGGAACACTTAATTCTGGTTCTTAAATCTCTGCACGATACGACCTTCTTACAAACCTTACTTTTGCCAAAAAAAAGACTTTCCATGTCGGACATGTTTGAGAATCAAATTTAAAGGGGTCTCTTTTCCGTACAGATATTAGTATTTCGTTCACTGAGGACTTAACGTTTTATACATATATTTCTAAAGTAAAATTCCATCGGTGTATTTGAGGTTTCGTGTATTAGTTGGAAGGACATTAGCTCTGAGGAAGGAAAACTCACTAATTGATAACAGTTAAGTACTTTGTGTAACTGTCGTTATCAGGCTATTTCTTACCATTTAACCGTTTAGCAGTTATAGCTATTTGTATTTTAGGAGACGAAAAAACAATCTAAACTTAAGTAAACGTTACCTTCGGGTCGTACTTGCTTTCTCAGAGTCGAAACTCGAACCTACAAGGGTGAGTGACGAAGATTTAGTAACATAATTTACAGAACTTCCCAAGATTATGCAAACAAGAAAAAATAGCAAGTGACATTAGGTAAAAAATTCATTCCTGACAGTAAAAAATGCTAAAAGAATGAAACATCCCACGTAGATATAATTCATTTCGTCAGATTCTTGCGGCAAAGAGTGCCTTGTCTATAACTCAGTTACGAAAGACGAAATGCGTGCAAACCACTCAACCTCCTTCAGCCTAAGTGCAAATCGCGGCAAACTTCCCAATTTGACAAAATCCGCAAACTCATTAGTTTTTGATTGGTGAAGTTATGAAAAACGATAGTTCATTATTAATCACTGATTACCTCTTATCTATCAGGATCTTTGGTTGAACTAATTAGCGACTGTTGATTACTTTTAGACATTACATTGAACCACATAAAATTTCAAATTGCACTACGATTCCGTGAACATTTTTGTGATGCACTGACGTCGTCTCAGGGAAAGCCTGCTATCTACCCTAACTGGGAGTTATTTCATTTGAGCGATCGCAAAATTAGTCAAAAAGCGTCAAACAAGCACTTTTTAAATTGCGAAGTATAAAATAATTTGAGAGATAAATTTTTATTACATCACAGGGTGGCTCAGCTGAATCGTTTTCACAATAAACAAATTACCCACGTAAGGTATGGAAAGAAGATAAAGCTCCGTAAATATTCCATTGTGTTATTGCCATGTGCGGTTTTTTGAAATGACACATTTGGCTCTAAGGAATTATCTGGAACAACTGAAGAGAAAGATTCTTCAAAGGAAAAAAGAATTGATGTGTGATCTGTCTTTCAGGCAAACAGTATTCAGCTCCAATCAAAGCCTATTCAGTTTATGTCAAGAAAAGGGCGCTCTGTTTTCGCATTCAGAATAAAAATTTCACTGGTTCTCAATAACCTCAGTACGCTAAATAGTAAGCTATGCCGGTCCCCTTCAGTTTCAATCAAACGCGATATAAGAAAACTGTAGTAAATTTGGCACTATTGAAACAGTTTTCAATCATGAGATCACATATTTACTAGATTATTCTGTTACAGGTTTGTATGTTGCACACCATTAATACCAGCACTCAAGAAGCTGAAATAATAAGCATTAATTTGAGTAGCAAAACTTTAAAATATTTTTCTTTGATAAGAGTTTTTGGTTGTCAACTCGACCTAGTGAAAGGTTTCAAGGATTTCGGCAATGGCCAAAGTGGCGTTTGTGAAGGCCTGAATAAAATAACTGTCCTAAATGTGATAAAGTCCTAAATGTAATAACATTTGGTCCTAAATGTAACAAAGTCCTAAATGTTATAAAATTTAGTCCTAAATGTGGTAAGCCTCCAATAAAATCGTTTAACTTCGCTAGTGCATTGTTGTTATTGCGGACATCCACATTGAGATGTTAAAGTGACAGCTGTTGCACCAAAGAACCCTCTGACCGATATACATGACATATTGCAAGGTCGCTGATATTAATCTGCGTCTTTTTATTCGCTGGAGACGTAGGTTGAGAAGCATTAGCAACAAACATTTGTACTGATGTGCTTTTGGCATCATATTGACAAACGTCAAAACAATGAGAATGCTGACCAACACTCTCTATATATCATTGGCTCAGACTCTTGAGTGCAACAGACTTGGACGATATACTTGTGTGACCAGTAATAAAATTAACACTTCATGAACCAAATTACATAGCAAAGGATGTCCACTGACCTATACGTTAGACAAAGTTTATACTGTCCTTCCCAGATTTGTATGGGTCTGCATGAAATATATGCATGAAATGCATGAAATATATGCGTTATTGACCAAGCGTTAGGTCAAGATGACTGGATATTGATTTTTTTTGCGTTTTTATGGACCGAGAAGAAGTCGAGGTCTATAAAAACGCAGGAAAAGAAAGAGGCTGATATCCGGTCATCTTTACCAAACTAGAGAGTTCATTTTCTCTTGGCTTGGTCAATGAATGATTTAATACATGGCAAAAAGATTTCGCTTTAATAGGAATCAAGAATGACTTGTTTATTTCGAGAGCCAAGAAAGAAAAACAACCGTGTTTGTAGCACTGTAGATAAATAACTACACTTTTAACGCCTCTAAGAGAATGCACATTTAAACCAGCCAGATGGATGGCTCTTTAAGATGTAAAGATTTGTTGATACGTGTGTCTGATTCGACTAAAAATAAATAATTATCACAGATATTTAGTTACAAATATAACAACAACAAGAACAAAGATAGAAACTAGTTGAAATTACAACGAACTTGCAATTTGTGACGTAGCCAGGTCCGTTAAACTCTTAGATAAAAGTAACACGACGCTAGCAAAAACTAACACAACGACTGACTCAGTTGAAATCAACTAGCAATGAAAACAACGCGCATTATGGCGAAAATAAATAGCCACCGGGGTTCCCTAATTTTTACATAACCTCACGCAAAAACGTGAACTTAATTGAATGGAAACAGAACATTACAATAGAAGTACGGAACAAAGAAAAACAAAATTAATAAAATTACTTGGCAGTTGCTAGAACAGAGAGGATCGTTTAATTTGTTTTCTCTTCTGACTGACTTCTGCCGCTTTTTGTGACTTCGTCGCCGACATTGTCCAAAAGTAGGGAACTTTGTAATTCCGCTTCAAGGACTTTTTCTCTCTTGCTTAGGATCAATACGGGCAATACCAAGCGGGCAAGATGCGCCCATCTCGCCCGCTCGGGTAACCAATCAGAACATTTGCTCCATCTTATCCGCGCGCGCTGCCAGCTATATAAATAAAGAGATTTACTGAGCACATCTTGATCAAAGGTTTTGACATGTTGCTTTCTTCCATGCAAGAGTCAAATTGAACACTTGAGCTACAGCATTCAACACATGATGGTCATTTGATGGTCTAGTACATCATTAATTTTTTCCTCTAGCCGGGTTCATTTTCTAAAAGCGAAATATTGGGAAAACATATATTCCACAGTTGTTCTCAGCTTTTATTTCCTTTTTTGTCTACATCTCTTCTCCCCGCCGTGAGGAGAGAAAATGAATAAATATATAAATAAATAGATAAACGGAAAAATAAAGCTCAACAGTTACCACTTATAGGCATTGGCCAGTTTGGGCTGGAAATGATTTTTCTCAACTCGATCAATAAACCGCTTAAAGGACCATACCGTTTTTAAAAGGCTTCGGTCGCTAATAAAGCAAGACTTCAATCCACCAGAAATACCGTGGAACCCCGATTTAATGAACCTCTCTATAACGCAGTCCTCGGTGTAACGAACGATACTTTTCGGCTTTACGGCTAAAGTTACAGTAAAACGTATGCCACACAACCTCGATGTAACAAAACTCGTTATAACGAAATCCTCGTTATAGCGAACACAATTCAAAAGCCCAAACGCATAGAAATACCCCGATATAACGAACAAATGTCAACACCCGATCAAAGAAAAATGTAAAACAGACCAATCGTGCTGTACTATACATTGGTGTTCTGTTCTTTAATACTGACCAATTTACAAAGGAAATCATCCCTTGATAACAATCACAAGAAAACAAACAACTAAGCAACAATGATACACTTGGAAGCCTTCAAATTGGTGGTGATTCGGTTGCTGAGATAGCGAATTCAGTTTTAGTAATCAAGAGGACATAGTTTTGAGTGGCTTTCTTACAATAATACTAGATTGAAATTTCGTTCTTTTTCTTTTAATTACAGAATTTGACAGCATGCTGAACCTCAAGCTAATTTTTTATATCAGTGTTTTACAAGCTTTGCTTGCGATAGCTCACGGTTGGTATTTTTTTGTTTTGCTGTTGATTTGATTTTACATACCCATGTTATCATTCATTGAACAAAAGTCATTAAGAGCTCACTCTGTTTTACTTTGAAGCTATTAGTGTACCAGATCTTGTGGCCGTCTATCCCCTGAACAGCAAGTATCTGACGAAAGAAATAAAAAATCGACTGCCCCCAGGTATCCTCAGGGATGAGTCTTTGGCGCCTGGAATAGATGGAAAGGAAGGGGGTTCGTACCAATTCGCAGGAAATATTGGAAGTTACATTGAGTTTCCAAATAATGGAGGACTAGACGTAAAGCGCTCTATAACGATATTACGTTGGGTGTATACTCAGACTACAGATGGTCCTCTCTTCCAGTACGCCGGTACCGAGCACTGGGGTGTTCACCTGTGGATGGCGAATGGAGGGTTGTTCTCTCTTTTCTTGCGCAGGGACTGCACATCCACAACATATCTGTATTACGAAGCTCTGTCTTTGGCTTTTAACAAGTGGCATTACGTGGGATGTTCCTATGACTTCAACACCGGTGAAGCGAATTTATGGTTAAATGGACAATCGGTGGTAAGAACGAATATTGGAAAAGAGATTGTACTTGCCACTCAAGATGAAGGCCGAATTGACGCTATAAACATGGATGAGCGCTACTTCCAAGGAAGAATCACTGCCGCACAAATCTATGACGTGGCCCTGAACGCTGATCAAATAAAAGCCGTGGAAGACGCTGGTCGAGGGGGTAATTATTCTAAAATTTACTTATGCCAATTGATAACGTCTTCATAAACCAGGGACCGCGGCACCTCTGTTTTTAGAATTGTTAACATTTTTTTTTCACACTGCTTTGTAGTCTGCAGTCTATCGAATAGAAGCTTCTTTACTCGGTAACGAGTGAGGCTCTCTCTTGTCTAATAATCTAAATTGGTATCAGTGCATATGGCCATTTACTGATAGAGGTTTGTATGTTAAAAGCTGATGTTTGCGAAGACAAAAAGCCCTGCCAGAATGGAGGTAAATGCAGCAACTCTGGTGACAGCTACACCTGTTCTTGTGTCGGAGGATTCAAGGGAAAAAATTGTGAAAATGGTGAGTGAAAGCCTTCAAAATCGTGTCAACGGTGTAAGTGTAATGATAAAATGTCTTCTATACTGCAATGCTTTTTTTGTCAAAATATCGACAGAGTTATTTTCAAAATGAAAAATGAAAGACTAAAGCTGACATCATAACTCCACCACAGATGACACACAATTCGTCTCCGATTCAGGAACACAGGACCCTCCTTGACCACACTTTTCCTACTTTCTGTTTTTTTAGACCATTTCGCTCTTTACATGTCATAAAATGTGATAGCTTTTTTAATGCCGGCCATGTGTAGTAACCAGGATATTGGAATCT